ATTGTCCCTGTTGTCCTTAAACAGCTCTCTGGTCTTGGCCACGGAGGATGTTGGAGTCTCACTGTTGACAGGTGTCATGAGTTCAAACAGGTGCCATTAATACAGGTAACGAGGCAAGGATAGGAGAGCTTCTTAACAGATCTGTGATGGCCAAAATTCTTGCTTGTTTGGTGCGAAATACTTTTTTCTGCACCAATTCTTTTTAAATAATATGATATAACTTCCTGTAATTCCTTTTTTTTGGGGGGGGGGGGTCATTCTGTCTCTTTTTGAGTGGCACAACTTGCACAATCGGTGGGTGCCAAATAGAATTTTGCCCAACTGCATGCATTTTTAAAAATCAATAATCAATGTTTTCAATGGAATGTAAATCTTTTTTTAAATGTGATATTGACAACCCTTAAACAAAACACCAGCATGCAGCATCCAGTTTACCTTCACACATAGAACAACGGTTGCTGTAAAGAACAGCCGATGGTGATCGCAGCCCAGCCGCCACCACAAAATAAACTCCTACCTCTTCAAAATGGGTTTATGTCCAGATTTGAGGATTTTTGAGCCCCAAACTTACCACAAACACTGTGTCTCTTTCCAAACAGACATCATGCACAAAATCAATCCAAATCCTCACCATGTGCAAAAATGTTCAGGCAATTACTCACTGTTGTAGTAAACATGATGCCAGTTCCATAAAATTTGGTCAGAACTACTTCTGGAGGTGTCTTTAACATTAAAAACCATAAACCAGTATCTAATCTATCCAAGCCCTTCATGACAGAAATGTGAACAAATATAATTACATTTTTTTTTACGATCACAAACTGGGCTGCTGGATAAAAGGAGATACTGCTGTTCAAGAGAACACAAACATGCATGTTGTTCACAAATACATATAATTTAATATTAATTATAAGAATGACACACGCACGCTGCTGCAAATCAAAAGTAAGCATGAAGCTGGCAGTTGCAAATGAGGAAAAAAAAACATTTGCTGACTCCAAAGACATCAACCTATTTTATTACAATTTGTGCATTTTTGTATCCTTTCATTGGCATACTTCATAATTCATTAATTTGTTAAACAATCCCTTTGTTACACATGAATTAATCATTAAATAATGCTATTAGGTCTACCTTAATGATGAACTAACAAATATCTAGACAGATAATGGTCAGTAAACGGTTTAATGGTTATTAAACAAGTCAGAAAATCTGATGATCTGTCTTGTTTTTGTTCTTATTGGAAAATGTTACTATTTTTTTAAAATCCAGCGAAGATAGACTGCTTTAAAAAATGTAACTTGATCACTAAAAAGTGATTATCCCTTTCCTCTTTTCAGAATTAACTTGATTTAAATGAGCAGATATTAACTAATTATCCTATTCAAATCTAAATTTTTGACATAAGAGATGTGAATCTATTAAAGTCAGCATTAAACCTCTGCAGGTCCCCAAAAATAGTCAGAAAGGGCGCACTCTTGATTGTGAGGTGATATTGTAAGGACTACGAAACCAATTTTTTTGTTTTTGTTTTTTCAAACTGCATCTAGCAAAGCTCCCAACCTGATGTTAACCAACAATCTCGGGAAGTTGATTTCATCTGGTGGTTTCCAGATGAAAAGAAGCTTTTTCTTAATAGCAGTATCACCTGACAGGACCCATTAAAACAAGCCCCCGTCATCTAAGTCCTTCCTCTCTCCTTCTCTCTGCCCCCCACCCCACCCCCCCGTCTCTCACACACACACACACACACACACACACACACACACACACACACACACACACACACACACACACACACAAATATTTTTTTCACAAATGTGCCCAGCTGGTTAGGTTCTAATCCAGAGTTGTAAATCCATTTAATCCCCTTGACAAAGTGATCCCAATGCTATTGTGATGGTAACACTACACCAACATGCACTCAACTGTCTATCAATCAGTATCTCTGACAGCCTTGTGCCATTACGTTATGCACACGTTGCAGCCTGCAGGCTCAAGGAATGTAATTACATTACTTTAAAATGGATGCTTCAGCGGCTAAAACATCTGGTGTCTGACAACTAAAGGTAAACATGAAAATACACCTAAAAATTGATTTTTGTTTCATGCAGACTTTTATGCTTGTGCACCAACAGAGCCTTGACCCGCTGCCTGTGAACTCACAGCTGTGACAACTGTTTAAAGCCAAACTGACAGGAGATACAGTGGACAAAGTAAAGCGAGCCATGTTAAGTCCACTACTGAGCACTGAGCAAGCTTCCCTCGGCCAACTGGGTGAGATACCAACGAGGCGTGCACACACACACACACACACACACACACACACACACACACACACACACACACACACACACACACACACACACACACACACACACACACGTCTGCTTTATAGTGTGTCTGGATGCAGCCGGCTGAAGAGACATGGGGAGAGCAAGCGGGAGTCTGGTTGACATTTCACATAAAGGAGCAGGCGTCACATTCACTCGGCACCACA